CTATCACACAAAATCGCGCAACATACAGGGCTGCTGTCCATAACGCGTCACAGTTCGTACATGGTTAAAACAAACGAGTGGATGAGAATCCCGCCAAACACGTCCCGACTACGCAGAATATTATCCAAAATACAACAAAGACTCAAAGAAGGACCGCTCCGGAGCGGTCCCAAGCAGAATCGTTTAAAGAACAAAGGAAAACCCGCACCAACGCGGTCACAAAAGATTGTCAAATACATCTCCATAAAGATGACACAAGGAAAATGTCTTGGTTCGCTAACCCGAAATAAAAGGGCGGAAAATTCAAAGGCATAATAATACGGGGCAGTCTCAAGCGACCGGAGATCCCCCACTGGCAGCATCACCTCCTTCACCTTCATCCTCGTCTTCCGCCTCACCTTCATCCGACTCATCCGCCTCCGAGTTGACATCTGCAGCGGACCAATGACCAACGGCATCCCATACGCGGTCGGAGTCCCAGCCTAGATCGGGGCACTCCTCTCGGAACAGATGCTGAATAGAGGCCACCACGTTGCCAACAACCGTCTTATACTTCGCCTTATCCTGCGCAATGAAGTCCGCGGATGCAAGGTAAGCTGGCCCCGCCTCAGCGCGAACCGCCGCCAACTCTGCTGCGTGGGCTACCTGAAGAGACGCCTTCTCCAACTTCAACGCGTCCATCTCCTTTCGCAAAGCGTCCTGCTCCTCCACCAAAGCCTTCTCGATCTCCCCAGATTTCCGTAAGGAGTCCTGGAGGCGGTCTCGTTCCTCGCGCAGCGGCTTTGAACCCTCCTTCTCATCGGACAACTCTTTCTCTTTGTGCTCCAACTGCTCGCGGAAGTCCTTCTCTAGCTGAGGGCGAAGCTCCTTCTCCAATGCAGCACGGCCATCCTCCAAGTTCTTCTTCAGATTGGCAATCTCAACCGCATTATCATCAACCGCCTTAGACAAGCGGTCATTCAGCAGCACAATCTGGGAAAAACCGATCTGTGCCTGCGACACCATAGTAAGAGCAATAAGCTAAGTAAATCAAACACAGGGGCATAAACGAATAACTCCGGAACCACTGCAGAAGTGACTTACTCCGAAGAAGAATTGGGAAGCGGTTCCGGCCAATCGGCGGTTACTCCCTGGAGAAGTAGCCGTGTACTCGTGAGGCATGACCAGTTGCTCGCTGATGGTATGGAAAGCTAACTCAGCAGCCTCTGTGTCAGTAGCCGCCTTCGAAGGAATGTCCACCAAACTGGGCTTCTCTGACCGCCTTGCCGGCTTCCCGCGATTATCCGCAGCCGCTGAAGGAGAGCCACGCACTCGAGCGCGTTTCGAAACCGCCTCAGGCGTCTCCTGCTGCAGCACCCTCTTGCTCGCTCCCCGTTGCGTGAGAGCCGGACCGCCACCAGCCGCACTCGGTGAGTTCGCGTCCACACAGATGGGAGAGGTCGCTGGGGGATCAACGGAAACGGCCGCCACTGACGAAGACGCAGCTCCAGCCCGAGCGGTCTTGGTCGCCTTCTTCTTACGCGGTCTATTGGCATCCGCCAGCTCTTTCAAACCTGATGAGAAAAAGCATAAGTGAAATACATGAGAAGAATAAGCGGCAAAAGTTCGATAAGCACACTACTAACCGTAAAAACCCCGAACAAGCTTATAGGCGCTGTCCGGACCACTATGCTTGACACGCAGCTGAACCGCCTCCACAATGCGGTTCACATGGTCTATCACAGACTGGGGAAACTGACTCGAATCACACCAAGCATCCTTAGAGCCAACCGCATACCCCGTGAGCGGTTCCGAGTCACCCGCATACCATTTCCAAGACGGCTTGGCAAAGAAGTATTCTCTATACCACGGGGAGTCCAACTTGGGCGCCCCAGTCACAAAGCCGACCGCATTCTCCCTTCTTCCCATCGACCAGCAGTTGGGGGAATCCCTGATGTTGTAAATCAATCTGAACGCCTCAAAAGAGGGGTCTTCCTTTATGCGACCGCAAGCCAGACGATACATCACGGAGTGGAAGACGATAGTCGGAGAAAGCCGCCCTAGTGTGCAGTTCAGCCAGTGAAGGGTCTTGGTCAAGATGGGGTCAAGCGGAAACCGCAAGCCCAACTTTACATGCTCCACAAATATCGGGACCCAACCGCTGGGGCATGATCCGGAGCGGCTAGTCTGAGAAGGGACCGCATATTGCCAGTCAGGGGGCATGCGAAGCGTCTTCAAACGGTGCAACACCTGCGCCGGTCTGAAAACCGCCCCAGAATTCTTGGGACCCTGTTCACTCACACCCGACGGAATGGACTCCCCTTCCCACATCCCCTCATGACACAACACGGTATATACAGAGTCTGGGATAGCTATCGGGAGCGGTCCAGGGTCGCCCGATTCCGACACCTCCAAAGAAGAAGATGTACTAAGAGACGCCTCCGGGCGCTCGCTGCCGCTACATACTTCGGCATCCTCCTCCTCCAAAGAGATACTATCTAATCCTACCCGTTCAAATTCCCCCAAGTTATCCCCCACAGCTGACGACGTAGCCATAACCCCAGCTGGTACAGGGCGCGTGTTAGCACAATTTTTATCCAAGTCGACACAATCCCCAACTAAACAATCGTCTAATTCAGAAGCACTTCCAACATATAACTCTAACCCAGACAAATCCCACACGCACTCGGATGGATTTCGAACGGGTGAAAAACAGTTCATACCTTGAGAAGTGAACGCGACCGCGGCAGCACCCGACGGCTTCTTCCCTATCGGCGGGACCGCCAATGGCGCTGCAGAACTCGAAGGCCCCCTCTCGAGTGTGACCACAAGGGGCGACTCGGCGGGAAGAGAGATCACGCGCTCGGCGGCGCCATGCGCACCAGCCTCGGACGGCGAGGGTGGAGCTCCTCCAGACATCTGCGAAGAGGAACGAATCGGCGGCCGACGACGGCGGCGCGATTCAAGCAAAGAGCAGAGAACAGTCGGAGAGTGTCTCGGAGAAGGAAGGAAGAAGGTAGCTCGAGCCGCTAAAGAAAGAGGAAAATAAAACACCTACCTGGTTCGCCGGTCGGATTATATAGGGGTCGTCGATTGCACTCCCTGCACAGCCCACAGAAGCAAGAACGAAGAAGAAGACGAAGGATTTCTAAAACAAGGAAGAGGTTCGGCGAAAATAAAGCCCTTCCTCACACATTTAAAGCGAAAAAGGGGAAAATTCAAAATCCCGAAACGACATTTCGCGCGCACCGAGGTCCTGAGATGACGTCTTGCCTCCTGGTGTCAGGACTCATCGCCCGAAAAGCGACACGTGGCGGTAAACAGTGGGGGTAGGAACCGCCACGGGCCTTTCCTCCACCTGTTTTTCGACACAAATTCCCCAGCGACCAAAGGCGGTCATGTAGCCATAAAGAAGTTCAAGTCGGGGAGAACCGCCCCTCAGGCGATCCCGCTTAAGGCCCTAGCGACCAGGGGCAGGGCAGACAGTCATGGGCAAGGCGGCCCTAGACCGCTTCGCAATGGCAGAAAGAAAAACTTTTAGCCGCAAGAGCCTAAAGCTTCTCACGCCTAAGGGGCAAATGTTAGGACAGCGGCTAACACCTACGGGCCCCAAGCCCATGACTCACTAAAAGCCCACCAAACAATTAGGTCCGGCCCAAACAGACCCTAAAGGCGGTCTTTTATCAGGACACCTTGCCGGGAGACCGCCCGACAGTCTCCCAACGGGACATCAGAGAGCCGCCCGACAAAGGGGATAAACGGCCTCTGAACACCTTTGTACGGAGACTGACAGAAGTACAAAGCTGACAGTCTCAGGGGATCAGAGCTCAGGCGGTCCAAGACCGCCCGACACGAAATTAAATGCTCTTCCTCCTGGCCATCACTAGTATAAATACCCACATCGGATCACATTGATGGTAACTTCTACCAACTCCACTCTCTCTCTCTTATTTACTTACTCTTCACTTCTCTCTCTAACTTAGGCATCGGAGGAGGTCCCAGGATTCCCCTGAGGACCTTTCTGCAGGGTTTCGGAGACCGCCCTCGACCATCGAAGCCGCCCAAGGCCAGTAGAGTCTCACAAACCGCTTGGTACATTCTAGGCACAAACAGTTCCTATTTATACAAGTGGATTCTTATATCTGTCAAACATTTTTCTTTTTTTACTTCTTACTTGTTTGGTTTTTAAAGTTCTGGCTGGGTAGACAGTCGTTCGTCAGCAAACTACTAGCTGGTGTGAGACTGTTCCGAGATGTGTAAAATAAATGCAGAATATAGAGAAAGTATGGGTGAATTCCCATATGCCCATTGATTGTTGGGAGATCCTCTTGAGCCCAATTTGTGCCAGCATTGGCACATACTAGTTGTAGTAACAGGAAGAGTCGCAGAAGGATGAGGAGAATTATTCGATGCCATTTCCGGGGGATTGGAGCTATTGCAGGAGACCGCAGGCAGAGAGCTTCCTGGTACCATTCATCTCCAGTTTTGGAACTCTTTATATTGTGCTGATCAGTCTCTTAAATTCTCATCGTAAGTAAGTTGTCTTACCGCTCCCCTTCACATGTTGGAACCTGATTTGTTGAGCTTCAACTTTCAGGACTTTTTGTGTAGGAAAATGACATTGAAGTAAGCATGGAGTGAATAGCCGTGATGAATGTAGTACAACTGCAGGCCTGGGTTCTTTGTTCTTGTTGAACCAAAGACGTTTAGGAAGATACGCGGATCACCAAGTGCAGCCGAAGGAGTCATGGTGCGTGGTATCAGAGGAATCGGAAGCCACGGTAACATTAATGGAGATCAATGTCAACGTACACCGCCTACTACATCTCAACTGTGGTCTTTCGAGGAATTGGAAGCTACGGTAACATTTATGGAGATCAAAGTTCTTGCCTGATCTTGGAGTTTCAACGGCTATGGCTATGGCCATAACTTGTACCACACGAAATAGGATTGAGAACTGGTCTCGCCAAATTGCATCACATTCCCTTGATTTCACTTCACAAATACACTTGGGCTTAAAGGCCCATTTGGACGCTAGCCGCTTAAACCCCTCTGGCTCCTCGGGAGATCGGTAAGGCGAAGCAACAATGTTATCCACTCTGCATTCCCCTCGCTCACTGTCCCGCTTCCCGCTCCACCTCACCTCTTCCGTTAAACCCCGCGCCGCCTCCGCGTCCTCCGCTTCCTCACTCTCCGACTACCCTCCGCCGCCGCTCCCAGCTGCCCAATCCCCAGGGGGAGCGCCGGCCTCCCAAATCCTGACCGTCCGCCGCTCCCTCCTCTCCGGATCCGTCACTGCTACCCAGCTAGCCGAGTCTTACTTGTCCCGCTTACGCCTCACGGAGCCGCAGCTCAATTCCTTCATACACGTCTCCGATTCCGTGTTGAAATCCGCGCAAGAGATCGATGACAAGATTGCCAAAGGCGGAGGTGAAGCATTGGGACCCCTCGCCGGGGTCATGGTCGGCGTCAAGGATAATATCTGCACCGCGGATATGCCGTCCACAGGTGGGTCCCGTATTCTGGAGAACTACCGGCCGCCTTTTGATGCCACGGCGGTGAAGAGGCTGAAGGAGAAAGGCGGGATTGTGGTGGGGAAGACCAATTTGGATGAGTTTGGTATGGGAAGTACTACAGAAGGTTCTGGGTTTCAGGTACGTTTTCCGGGAGACTTTCGCTTCTGTGGAACTAGTTAACTGAACTTACACAGCAGTATAGAAGAAATGCCCCAAAGTGTTAGCATTTCGTTTCAACTATCTTAAGTGGCATGTTATACTCGGCATAGCGAATCAGATGATCGGTGTTATCTATAGAAATCAATTCCTTGTAAGCTTTCCGCTGTACTTATAGTTTTCGGATTCCTGAAGAATTTTGTTGGAAGGAGCTCGTGTTGATTCATGTGTTTGAGGCATAAATGTCAGTCATTTTATTTATGTTTAACCTGCCATTGTTGTCCAATTTTTGGCCAAAATTTGTGAAGAAGTAACGCTTGTATTTAGGTGACTGCAAACCCTTGGGATTTGGGTCGTGTGCCTGGTGGATCGTCGGGGGGATCGGCTTCCGCGGTATCTGCTCGGCAATGCGTAGTTTCATTGGGAAGTGATACAGGTGGAAGTGTAAGACAGCCAGCATCATTCTGTGGTGTGGTTGGGTTAAAGCCGACCTATGGACGTGTCTCGAGGTTTGGGCTTATGGCATATGCCTCTTCACTTGACGTAATCGGATGTCTCGGGACATCAGTGGCTGATGTTGGTATATTTCTCAATGCAATCTCCGGTCATGATAAGTTTGATGCTACTAGCAGCAAGCAAGTAAGTACTCTTGATGTACTCCTTTCCTGGCCCATTGAATTTAGATATGCCTACCAATTCAGATTACTCGCTTCTTGGGTATTTTAATTTGTGTTCCTAATGATGCTACTTACTAGTTGGCCTGTTACAAGGGAAAGTGGAAAGGTTGACAGAAAGCAGAGTGATTCTTGGTTGTTATGTATAGGCTATTGTAGCTTGACATAAATGATGTCTGATTAGATAATAGTATATCTATATTGATTATGCAAAGTGCAGCATATCAAAGAAAGAAAAGAAAGGGAATGAAAATGAATTACAATGCAACATATGTAGTCTTGTTGGCTTATTGTTTACCATTCTGCTACTACTTTTGGGTGAACTGAAGTGCATTTGACATTGTTTGCTTTGGCTTGATTCTATAAAATTAATTTTCAGGAAGTTCCAGATTTTGAATCTCTTTTTACTTCCATAAACCTATTGGAGTCCAAACCATTGAGTGGGCTGAAGGTGGGTCTTATACGGGAAACCCTTGATGATGGTGTGGACAGTGGAGTTAAGTCAGCAATAAACGCTGCTGTTTTGCATATGCAAGAGTTGGGCTGCATTGTCAATGAGGTCTTTCTAGCATTTCCTTCTTTTACATTTTCCCTTTACATACATGACATACCTGGTAATTGATCTAGTTTTGTACTGAACTCTTTCCTAATTTTTATAGGTTTCATTACCTTCTTTCTCCCTTGGTTTACCTGCCTACTATATTCTTGCCTCATCTGAGTCATCTTCAAACCTGTCTCGTTATGATGGTGTCAGGTGATTTGTCTTGACAATTGCTTCTCTTGTAGAACTCTCCGTCTTATTCATATAGTAATTAAAAACTGTTGATTCAACGGAAGAAAAAAACTGTTGCAAGTATTTTGGCTGAACATAGATGAAGTTTTTATGTATTTATACCATTATGGTCTGGTTATTTCTGCTAGTGTAATGATTCTCTAGGCAGAAGGCGTTTTTTTCGTTTATTGCTCTTCTTTGATATGATTTTTTCACAATATAAGTTTACTCGAATGATAAACTTGGACAAAATGGATTTGGACCCCACCAAAATTTATTTTTCCTTATAACCTTTAATCATCTTAGTTTGATTTATCAATTCAAAATAATATCTTCTAGCAACAGTTGTGATGGCCAGTTTAATCTTTCCGTCCGTCCTACTGATTGGGGGGCCTCTCTTGGTGCCTTTTTACTTCAGTTTGATTTATTCTTCTAAATATGCTTTTGAATTACCAAGTAGAGATTTTCTGTATATACATTACATGGCAGATGTGTTACTAATGAGTTGTCATCGCCCTATATCTTGATGTCTAGATATGGAAAACAAACAGTATCTGATGAGTTGAATGCTCTTTATGCGAATTCGAGAGCAAGTGGTTTTGGTCCTGAGGTATGTAGCACCAGAATGTCCCATTATATAATAAATTCATGTTTATTTATCAATCAATTTCTAGTATGAAATTGTCTATGAAGCCTCTAAGGTATGTTATCATGAGATGACATTGAGATGCGATCATTTATCGCGCAAAAGTTCTTGAACTAAATGGCTTCATTTGCTCAAACCTTAGGAAAACTTTAGCATTACCCTTAATTTCCGCTTGATTCTTGTATGCTCTTGCAGGTTAAAATGCGAATTTTAATGGGAACATATGCTCTCTCAGCTGGTTATTATGATGCTTATTACAAGCGTGCTCAACAGGTATTATTTGATCTATTTGTATGTATCGGTACACCTGGATATGGATGCTGGTCTAGAAATCATGTAGAATACATGGATAAGCAATAGTGAATTCCGATGCATATGTTGAATTTTACACTGTGCTTGGGAAGTCAACCTTAGTAATGAATCTGAATGATGAGAGCTGTTATCTTGTTTCACAATGAGCATGCGTATCTAGATTGTCTGATGAGTTGTGGTACCATCTGAAGTTGCTTTTACAGATAATTTTCTTTTTGTTTTTATTTGAAAAGGTTTTACATGCAATTTATACTTGTTTGTTGCTTTCTACGCTGTTCAATCAAATAGTAAATCGCATAGATTTAATAAATACTTGAGTGCAATTACATCGAGAGCCTTCAGGTGTTCGAAGAAGAAATTAATGGCTTTTTTTCAATGCCTCAGGTAAGGACCTTGATTCGAGAAAGCTTCAAGACAGCACTAGAAACTAATGACATTCTAATTTCCCCAGCTGCGCCATCGGTAGCTTATAAGATGGGTATGTTGGTTGTCTCTTATTATTCCTAAACAGCTGGTTGCTGTTTGTGCTTCTGCTTAGAGGTTTGTTTTAGCAGAAATTATAAGGTTATTGTAACTTACAGGTGAAAAGAAAAACGATCCGTTGTCAATGTACGCTGGAGACATAATGACTGTAAGCATACACTGAATTCATACTTATTTTCAAAAACTATTATAATTGCATTAGCAGTTTTCTCTAGTTAACATCAATGTTAAAGGAAACTGAAATCCTTTTTCATGTCTCTTGGGTTTTTTGCATCCTTGGTTCAGGTAAATGTTAACTTGGCTGGGCTTCCAGCACTGGTTGTACCTTGTGGATTTGTTGAGGGAGGGTCTTCGGGACTTCCAGTCGGTCTCCAAATGATTGGAGCAGCATTTCATGAGGTACTTCACTCAAATATCTCCAGCCAGTTTTGTTATTGTTAGAAAATGGTAGACTGTTTGGGGTTTCAAGCCTAGCAATTTGGTAATGAGTAATCAATTTTGCAGGAGAAACTGCTAAAAATCGGCCACCTCTTTGAGCAGACCCTTCAAGGATGCAGGTTTGTTCCACCATTGGTAGCTGATGATCCGACTTGGAGTAGAACCTAATTCTAACTAGCTTCACCGTGATAGGAACTCGGAACATATTCGTAGAAATGAACATACTCGTGCATGCATTAAGTAAATTATTCTGAATATTATTTTTTTCTGAAACGGGATCCCGAACTCAACTGAGCTAGAGCAACCGTCTGGTATAACTAACAGCCTGTTTGGAATTGGAATTCCATTTCCAATTCCATTTCCATATATTATGTTTGGAATAATAAAAAGGTTGAGAATTGAATTCCAATGGGTCTAAAATATGGGAATTACAATTCCTATCAAAAGCGATAGGAATTGAGAGAATGAAGATGGAATTAGTGGGACCCATCAATACTTTTTATTAGTTTGTTGACCCACTATCATTTTACTCTCTTTCTCTCTCATTCATATTTCATTCTCCAAAATAAAACAAATATATTACATTATTCATTATGGTTAAAAGTGCAATTCATTTCCATAGTTGTAGGAATTATACCAAACACTAGAATTGGAAATGGAATTCTATAAAAATAAAAAATTGAATTCCATTTCCATTTCTTCGGGAATTGTATCCAAACAGGGTGTAATGGAGAGAAAGGCGATCACTTGCTTAGTGCAACCGTCTGATATCATGCTTACTTGACACTATCGCAGCAGCTCTTCGTTAAAATTTTTATATATTAGATGAAGGGCTGATGCTTTAAAAATCCAATTCGCGGATTTTCCCACTGTATTTTGTTGAGGGACTGGTATATGTGAATTCGCAGGGGCTCTGACGTGTGCTTAATTAGAGATTTCCTTGTTAGTTCTGAGTGTTAGGTTACCATGGCCATAAATCGAGCCGAAATCTCCATCATTCTGAGCTCCAGTTTCTCCTAACAAATCCATGAATTCATCGATGGATTTAATTCCAACATGATTAAGTACGCTATTCAAATTGGGAATGTCAATGTGGTCCGGGGTGGGTATCTCGAATTCTCGATGCTTACATCCATTTTGTGGCAGGTTAAGTCTAGGTCGAGTAATTCATTATGGGGCACGGATAAGGGCAGGTCGATCCAATGGGTATATAATTTATATGGAAAAGATTAGAAATATTCTTTATGTTCATTAGAAGACTAAGAAAAAAATCATAATATGATAAATGTAGTTTATTATTGGAGAAATTGAAGTTTTTAATTATTTATAATTTTATGATAACTGAAATATGAGATAAGAAAAAGAAAATCCTAAGTGATTTGATTAAGATTACATGTAATTTATACAAGAACGAGTTGAGAATGGACGGGTCATGCCAGATCGGATCAATAAAAGTACCCATGCTTGCCCAAAAACAGTCCAATCAGGTCGGAACGAATTCAGTCGAAATTATCATCCCTATTGTAACATTATCTCCGAGGGAGGTCCGAGTTTGAAGTAACAGCTTTGTCATTGTACAGCCACGTGGCATCCTCTTTGGTTAAACAAAATCTAATGAAGAAATGCACAAAATGAGAGAGCTATGACGACCATCTAGGGTGTTTTCACGAAAAAGAAAAAAAATTAAAAACAATGATCAAACAGAACTTTTTAGTGGGATGCGCCTAGGTGGCTATGCGGTCCGGTCCGGTTAAATTGGCCCAAATTGATCCGGTCCAGTTCGGTTTTTTTGAAAATATAAGGACCGAAGATTGGATTGGATACAGTCCGGTCTTGACCCGGTCCGGTCCCAATTCGGTCTTGATTTTATATTGAGATTGTGGGAATTTGAGTGGCCTAAGGCCTAAAAGGGTGAGGAGTTGGTTAAGTTTTGTACTAAGTGCAAAGGTTTGTGACCGTTTATGCAAATTACCCTTAAATTTTGGGTGTTGAGCTCTCTTATCCGGTCTTTATTCGGTTTTTTACATCAAATCTAAGCCCAAAAATTGGATTGGATTGTTTACTATCCGGTGCGGTCTCGGTCCGAGTTATACGGTCCGGTTTCCGGTTTTTCATCCGGTCCCGATCCAAATAACCAGCTCTAGATGCGCCGATGCGGGACTGAGCCAGGCACGAGGGAATCAATCAAAGGCTAAGTCAAGAGAAAGAAACGAGAAATTGAAAAGACCAGGTCCAGGTTCAGATCCATCCAAGGCCCGTTGAACTTTGGGTTTGACCCACTACTACTAATTGGTCCTTCCTGCGTTCTTTTTTTTTTTTTTTTTTCTCTCGCGGACACAGTCCTCTCGATTATATGTTTGTTTATCAGTGGCGATATGAAGATAAGATACGGTCTTTAGTCTTTACTGACACTGTCAATTCTCTCCCAACTTACATTTCTTCAAGTTGTTTTGAGGTTTGTTGAGGGCCTGGTCAATTCTAAAGGCTCTGTTTGTCCTTTCTCCTCGTCTGCTTGGGTCAAAGTTTGACACTCGAAAGTGAAACGGACAACTTTGCTTCACCCAGATTATGTGATAAGAGGTACCTGGGATAGCTTTATTTGGGGCTAAGTTGGAGACACTGGGAGCTATTTACAAAAGGAATCATTTGCTCAAATGTAAACATTTGAAAAATGTAGATATTTGTATATATACTGTTTGTTTAACAATTTTAGATGAATCATTCATAAATAGGTAGTTTGTACTGTTATAATTTTGCCTTACATTCAATATTTCATTATCTTATTTCCTATCCTCATAAAACCAATCATGTAATAAAAAAAATACATATGATTACAAGTCATCTCTAATACTTTCTAATATTAAATAATATTTTTATGCTAAATTTATTTATAAAAGGTAATGACTACACAAATCTCACATTCTGGCTAATTACGACTTGTTTTTTAAAGCAACAACTCTATTGACCCTCCTCGCCACTTGTGAAATTTGGCAGAAAGGAAAAATTCGGCAATAGAAGAAAGAATGGTAGGAAAAATAAGTAGGAGAAAACCAAGGATAAAAATGGGTTTATAAAAAAGCGATAAGGACATAATTAAAAAGTTAAGCTAAAATAATTAGTCATTTGGAAATGACTCAATAGCAGCGGCGGATCTAGGACATAAGAGAGCACTGGGCCGCATTTGAATAGATCGAATATTAGATACCATAAACAAAAACATATAATAATATAGTTTTCATCAGTGTTATTAAAGCCGAACCCAGCCGCTCGGCCCGACCGGTAAAACCGTCACCCGGTCACAAAACCGGCTCGGAACAGTCTAAAAGTCGCTCCGATTTTATGTAGCGGTTGACGAGCGGCCGAGGCCATTAACCGCTCGAGCCGATTGAGCCGCTCGTCCGGTTTTTGCCATTCAGCCGTTAAATTTAATTAGAAAAATTGCAGAAAAATTGAAAATTGAAATAAACCAAAAACGTCGTGCTCTCAAACTGAATCCTTATTTCCATTTCACAATTTCGAAGGAAAGAGACGAGCTCTGATTATTAAATGTCCACTATTTATACTGATAACGTTTATGAGGTACCGATTCTCTAATGGTTTTTTAACGGGCTAATGCCGGTTGGACCACTAAAGTGCGAGCCGTTCGCATTACCGGGTCATGCTCCGGTTCGGTTCTAACAACTTTGGTTTTCATTACAATGCCAATTGTACAAGAAGGTCTTTTAATTTAGCAAATTCATCCATAATAGAATCTCTATCCATACTAATAATATACTCTTTTTTAAAGAAAATAGCTAAGTAATCAACGAGAAATTCATCGCTCATATTGTTGCACAAATCAATGTTCATGTTCCATTGCTGAAAATTCTCTCTCCATGGTAGTTGTTGAAACGGCTAGGTCAACACTAGACAAATCAACCGACAAATCAATTTATATTGTGTGTTCATCCATGTTTCCTCCAGCTTCTCTAGTAATTTTGCAAGATAAGAAACTTTATCTTCCTCACATGAGTAGCGCATTCTCCAAAGAATGCATCTCATAGTCTTCAAAGTCTCGAGGCTAAACTCATGAGCAAGTTTGTAAATATTTTCTTCATCAAAACATAAGAAAGAACGGTTAGAATCTAGTGCCCCCACTCAATTGAGGGAATCTAAATGATGACTCAGCAAGTTTGTAAATATTTTCTTAATCAAAAGAATGGAAATAAAACCAGCTCGGCGGACTGGCAGAGAAATCTATTTCGGGTCTGATCGTCTCCTCGTTCTTATTTTGTTTTCAGGGATTGGGAATTGTTTTGAATTTTGCAAGGAAGGGTGTGTTTTAGTTTAGAATTTTTTATTTTATTTTAATGAGATTTACACTTTTAGGTTTTCATGTCTTTATTCAAATAAAATCACCGGGGCTATAAAAAATTATTATAAATCTTATCTTGCTTTGACATAAATAATCAAAAATTATTATAAATTATTATCAATGTCAAAGCAAGATAAGATTTTCTTATCACAGAATAGTTAACCAAACACCACATACGCGGTATATGAGAAAGATTTACCTAATAAAGCATAGACTTAACAACTAAATATACAAATTAATTATTAACGATGCATGAAAAGCTAGAACAGGCGTTCAGGGTTCGTGCACCTGCATAATTAGTACAGAGTTGAAAATACAGCTTTCTTGACTTCCTTGTCTTTTAATTTTGTTTATCATGCCAGGTCCCCAGTTTAAAAAAAATTGTTTATTATGCATCCTATCTTGTCCCTGCTCTAGAAGAACCTCCTAATTATAATCAAATAATTACCTTTTCATTATCTAAACATTAATATGACCACTACATTAGATGCATTATTGGCTGTTACATCTAACCTCTTAACTCATTCCAATTCTTCATTCATTCTCACATTCATGTATATTGATTGTAAGAATGTAGAGTTTATGTGATGTGTACTTATAAATAGAGGACCTTCTTGTATTAAGGGACATATGAATAAGAAACCTTTATTCTCTCTCTCTTCTTGTGTCTCTACTCTTACTCTTGTGTCTATTACTCTTCCTTGTTATTTCATAACACGTTATCATCACGAAGCTCTAGCAACCTTAAACAAGAAAGATTCATTGTTTAACACATCTATCTTCTCTTTTTATTCTTATTGCGATTATCTTATTACAATTCTATCATTACACTAAAACAAATGCAACTTATTTATCATAATAGATCATCCATGAATATTTTACCTAGTACTTGAATTGTGTTGCTCTTTGGGTTGTAATTGGATTTACACTATTATACAATCTTATAATATATGAGTCAAAGCCTAGCGTACATCCGGACGTACCCTAGCCTACCGTACGCCCATTAATTTAATCTTGGAGTGAAAATCAACGGTTCTGATTCGTCGAAATTATTGTTGATTTTGTGCCCACCTCTATGGAGTCGATGCGGTTAGATGGGCCGGTGGTGCACCAGATGGGCGGTTCGGGGATGGCTCCAACTTCTCGAGGTAGCCCGAGGGGATTTGTGCTTAACCGCCCTCCCAAACTCCGTCTGGGGAGTGGTCGATCGAAGCAGCTGGGAAGCAAGGTGTCTGAGACCCATGTCGGGGCTGCGGCGGCTCAGCCCAAGCTGAGGACATCGGTGAGGCCGCCGTCGGCCCAGCCTTCCAAGGATGAACCGGCCGCTGTAATGGAAGAGGAGTCGCGGCGCCGTCGCCTTATCCTCGAGGAGGATTCGGATGATGACATGGTGGACGTACCCCCCGACGGCTTATCATGCTCCGTCGAAGCAAGCTGTGCAGATTGCGCCCTCGGGAGATCAGGTGGCTCGCTCGATTCCTAAGGAGGCTGGGGTGGAGACGGCAGGGAAGAAGGGAGCTCGCCGTGCTAGGGCGCCGTAAAAAAAAGCAGGCCGAGGAGGCTGCCCCCCGCGCTGGATTG